GCGCTGTTCATACCATGGGGATCATGACAAAACTCAGAAACCTGTGTAAGTCCTTATTTTCGGGGTCTGTAAAGCTGCATCATCTTAGCTGTTTTAATTGTTGGAACATCTGATCCACTGCTTCCGGGGGTCTTGGTTCGTCAAACCACAGAAGTCTGGAAGGAATCCTAAGCTTTTTATGTTCTGTGGAAACATAAATTAAAACTCCTTTTCTGAGTAACATATCCTTATACTTAAATTTTGAGGTCAAGGCATTTTTAAAAGATATAAGTTGAATTAATTTAGCAGCATTTATAAGCAAGTGTACTTTATCAGTCGTTCCTTCCTTAGCAATGAAAAAACGGAAAAACATAATAGCGTACAGTATCCAGACTCTCTGCGTATTTTTCATCTTTACGTGGCTTATTTATTTATCTATTATTTATTATTACTCTATTTCTTTCACTTTTATTTATTTTTCTCTGAGACAGGCTTTCTCTTTGGAAACCTGCCTGCCTCTGCCTCTGGAGCAATTCCTACCGGCGTGCGCCACCACAGCCGGCTTTTGTATTTATTTACCACTTTGCCGTTTCATTTTCTCTCTCAATCTCACGTATATTTTTAAACACACTGTAAACCTTTAGAGATTTTCTTCATCCAAGTCTGACTTTACTGTAAATCTTTATGTTTTTCTGGCCACGTGTCTTATCTGTAAAACCGCGGCTGTTTTAAACTGCCGTTTCAAGATGGCGGGCATAAGCGTGACTCCAGCTTACCTCCTCAGTCCATGCTGACCTCCAGCAAAAGCTGCTACTTCCAGCTGTACGTACACACCTTTCAATCGTTAGCAGAGTCTCTTAAAACAACCTTGTTGGTTTTTTTTTCTTTTTCTTTTTCTTTTTCTTTTTCTTTTTCTTTTTCTTTTTCTTTTTCTTTTTATGCCGAGTCAGGAAGACTCCAGTAAGCGAGCCTCGTGAATCTCGGCTTGTGGCTAGCAAAACAGAGCACACCTGAGAAAAATGCTGCTACCAAAAATCTGTGCTTCTCTCCATTCTTCTCTTTCTAAAATTCCTTTAAAGCTTTTGTTATTTTGCGTGGAAATTCATGATCCCACTCCTGATCACCATTCTGTTAAAAGAAGCTTTTCCTTGTGAGGAACCACTCCGCCCGCCTGGTTCCAGATCCGCATCAGTCCCAAATAAACACACAGGAGGCTATATTAATTATGAAGCTGTTGGCCTTGCTTGTTTCTTCCTGGCTAGCTCTGACTTAAGTAATTACCCCATAATTGTTAATCTAAGTATGTCTCTTACTGGAGAGGTTTCCGGGCTTCCTACCCCAATGGCGTTACATCTCAAACTCTCTTGTGTTTCTCCTTCCCAGAATCCTCCTGGACTCCTAGCCCCACCTATCTAGATTCCTATAGGCTCAACAGTACTTTATTGACAAATAACAGGACTTCCCCCAACATCTCCTCTACACAACTACATTACTCTACACAACTCCGGACCAAGAAACTGAAATAGCACATCTTCTACAATCTGGCAGGAGCTTCAAGATGAGAGCTTCAATCAACACTAGAACCCCAGTCAGGAACTTCAATCAAGCATCTCCTGCCATACAGAGACTGTCTGATCTACTGAGATTTTGTTATACTAACATTTTTCTTCTCACAGGTCCCCATGAGATTATCATCGTCCCATCTCAGCAGGAAGTAGTTTTGAGAATTCCACGCCCCCTCTCCCTACTATTGATATTATAAGATAGTTTACACCTGTTAGTGTTAGTTTTCAATTATTTTTAGAGTTGGGATTGGAAGGAGGTGTTCATATTTGGGTGTTTCTTTCAGATAAGTTTAGGTAGATGGAATAGATGTTTGATACATTTTGTTCATGGACACAAGTTAGTTGTCCTTTTTAGACTAAAAGGGGAATTGTAGGAGGAAGTCTGATGCCGCCATTAAACATGTGACTTATTAGAGGCGCATACAGATGAGGTAATAAAAGGGCGGTTTACCACACCGCTAACCACACCCACTTTAGGCAGGACTAAAGACGTATACGGCTGGACGTAAAGACGTATACGTACGTAGGCGGAACTACGTCACTAGCCATTTGGGCATGGCTTGGGGGCGTTACGGGGGAAGGCATAAAAGACAGCACACAGGAAGTCTCGGACTCTTTTCCTGGAGTTCGGCTTCCGGTCCGGCAGCTGAAAACTGCTTGACTCCTCTGGGTTTGGTATCTTGTGAGTAATTTCTACATTAAATACTTAGCTTTACTTTCAGTAATTGTGTGTCGCGTATCGTTACAGCGTCCATTGAAGCCTACAGGGGTGTCTAATGACCCTTTCCCAGGGGTCACATATCAGATGTCCTTCATATCAGATATTTACATTATGATTCATAACAGTAGCAAAATTAAAGTTATGAAGCAGCAATGAAATAATTTTATGGTTGGGGATCACCACAGCATGAAGAACTGTATTAAAGTCTTGCAGCACTAGGAAGGTTGAGGACCACTGAACTAAATGTTTTGATGTGATATTAATAACAGTGTTATTCTGCCAGCTACTTCTTAGGGTTGTCGCAAAGAACAAACAGCATAAATGCTCTACATGAAAGCCTATAATAACTTATTAATTTTAGAACTTAATATAAGAATACATGATTTTCCCTAAGGGGTGTGTGTGTGTGTGTGTGTGTGTGTGTGTGTGTGTGTGTGTGTGTGTGTGTGTGTGTGTGTGTGTGTGTAGGCAGAGGCAAAACTATCAAGTACCGTCCACCTAATTTTATTTTTTTGTTTGGTTTTGGGGGACAGTGTTTTCCAATGTAGCCCTGGCTGTCCTGGAACTCACTCTGCTGACCAGGCTGGCCTTGAACTCAGGGATCCACTGCCTCTTCCTGGGATTAAAGGCAGGTGCCGCCACTTCTAGCTTATTTACTTATTTAGTTAATTAGTTAATTAATTAATTTTTTTCATCCACCTTATTTTTTTAGATGAGATCTCTTATTGGCTTGTAGGCTAATTTGGCAACAAGCCTTAGGTATCAGCCCTGCCATTGTACTGGATTTTTTTCTTGCAAGGCGTTTGAGCTTCCTTTCTGTTGCCATGATAAAGTTCCCCAGACGCTTTGTTCATGCATTCCAAATCCACGTTGTCTCCTCCCTATGCCCTGAGATCTCTCTCTTCTCTTTCATTATCCCGACTAGGTTCATCACACACATGCATACATGTGAACCTAGGTTCAGCATATGAAGAAACATGTGTCATTTGTCTTTATGAATTTGATTTGTTCAGTTTAAGGTAGCAATTTCTCAATAATGGTTTCTGGTTCTGTCCGTTTCTCTGGAAATGTCACAATTTCATTTTTTACAGCTGAATAAAATTCTCCTGCATACATGTACTGCATTTTCTTTATCATTCATCTGTTGATGGACATTTACGGTAGCTCCATTTTCTTGCAGTTGTGAATGAACAATGGATGTGCGAGTGTCCCTGCGGTAGATACAGTTGTAGTGGTAGTTCTGTTTACAGTTTACTAACACACTTCCATGCTGATGTCCTGAGTGGCAGGACCAGCTTACATTCCCACTGCAGGGAACAGAGATTCTTCTTTCTTAGCATCTTTCCTCATTGTCCTTTGTTTTCTTGGCGATAGCCATTCTGACCAGAGCAAGATGGGAACAGAATAGTTTAGCTTTCACTTCCCTGATGGGCCAGGGATTTTGGAAACCTTTAACAGCATATATTGACCATGGTATTTTTCTTTCAAGAACTCTCTAATCAGTTCATTAAAACAGTGATAGATTGGATGATTTATTTTGGAGGGAAATGCTTAATTTTCTGAGTCTTTGAAAACTATATTCTAGATTTAAAATGCTCACTTGATGTATAGCTGGCAAGATTTGCCCATTGTGCAGCTGCCTCTTTGTTCTGGTGGTTACTTCCTGTCCTGTGTAGAATCTTTTAATTTTGTGTAACCCCATTATCAGTGGTATTTTCGAAGTCATTATGAATAGCTTATTCCAGAGTGTTTCAAGTGTTGTGTAGTTTTCTTGATGAAAATTCCACTATCATCTGATAAACACGGAAATTGTTTCAACGCTCTTTCATTTGTTAAGACTTTGTGGGCTAGATGTGTCCCGCGCTACCGTCTCGCCAGCAAGAACGACGCAGAACACTCGGATCCTTCTGCAGTAAAGCTTTAATGCATCTTGAGAGATAGATGATCAGCTTCTTAGAGGGAGACCCCAAGCTAAGAAACCCAGCCCCTTATATAAGCCTAGGAGCTCCGAGTGAGATGTGTAGAGCCGGGATTGGTGGTTTGCACATCACCCCAGATGACGTCACGGGAGAGGCACAGTTTAAACGGTTAACTCCAACTGACAGCGACAGTTAACTCCAACTGACAGCGACAGTTAACTCCAACTGACAGCGACAGTTAACTCCAACTGACAGCGACAGTTAACTCCAACTGACAGCGACAGTTAACCCCAACTGACAGCGACAGTTAACTCCAACTGACAGTGGATGTCAGCGCCATCTTCTAACGGCAATAGCGATAGCGAGGGCGGCTCCTCACATCGATGTAGTCTATTTTAGGGGAAGCAGGTATACTCTGTAGCCAGTCAATGAAGTCTTCTGTAGATCTCTGGGGACTCTATTTGCTTTCAGGTCTAGCTGAACTTACTTTTGACAAATCATCTCAATGAACGTGAGAAATTACAGTCACCCACCTTCGTTGTGTTTGGAGCTCTGTGACCTTTGTGCTCACTAGTGCTTGCATATGAAGTCGTGAGTCCACTACTCAGGAATCTATCTGTGAGTATTTTGTCTCCCTTATGATGTGTTCCTATTGATACCATATTGAGCACAAAAACAAAAACAACAACAAAAAATTTGCTTTATCAGCTATTGATGCTAAATAATTGGTAACTTTATAATACATTTATTAGTTTTATCATGTTTAATTCATAATCATTGGTGACATAGTAATGGCTTTAATAAATATTAAGCATATTTCTTTGTATTGCACAGGTTTATGTTGTTACCCGTACAGAATCTTTTTTTTCTTCTCTAATTGTACTGAGGATTGAGCCCTCAAGGGAAAGCTTTGGCATGAAACATAAGAAACATGAAAAGGCAGCATCACTCCTCCAAAAGTCCGTAACACCTCAGCTACTGAATTCAAAGCTACACAAAGAGGTTAAAACTATGGACAAAGATTTCAAAACTTTACTAGAGAAACAATCATGGACTTCAAAGGGGATAAGAAGAAGCAGTAAATTCAGTCAGAGGCCTGCAGAGGACAGGCAGCTGCACAGACCTAAGAGTCGACAAAATGGTGTGCATTTTGTGAGTAGTGTGGAAGGGAAGGGAAGCAAGGAAGTTGAGACTCCAGGGTGGGACAGATAAAAAGTGAGAAATTAAAACCTTAATGATACGAAAACCCAAGGAAAAGGATCACCGACAGACTTGACCGATTAGAAGAAAGAAAGGCAGGCATGGAGGACAAGGCCAAAAAACATTGTGTTCAAACATTACAACTAGGACGGTTCAAGGCAAACACGTAAGTATATGATTTAAAATTTAAGATAAAGCCAAGCTGCAAAGTAGAGTGCAAAGGGTACATGTGGGAAAAAACAAGAGAAAAGGGATGGAAGAAAAATGACTGCTCAATAATAGAACGTGCATAAAAAGTAGAAAAAATTGTGAAAGAGAATCACAAAAGCTTGTTTTTTTAAATTCAGTAATGTAAAAAATAAAATATAGGAAAAATGGAGATACACAAGGGCAACAGAAAGGAAGGGAGAAAGGAAGAGGAAAGGAAGAGAGGAAGGAAGAGGAAAGGAAGGGAGGAAGGAAGAGGAAAGGAAGGGAGGAAGAAAGGAAGGGAGGGAGGGAGGGCGAGGGAGGAAGGAAGGAAAGCGAAAATGAGAGGGGGGTGGAAGAAAAGGAGGAGGAAAGGAGGGAAGCAGGGAGAGAGAGAGGAGGAGGGAGGGAAGGAAGAGGGAGGGAGGGAAGGAGGGGAAGACGGTGAGTTGGAACAGTCTCTCTTTTCTAGGTCTTTGAGATTGGAGGTGGCAGGAGACTGGTGTGGAGGGAGAGACTGGAGCTGCCCTTCAGGACCGCGGGTTTGTACAATGTTAAGCCTACGCTGGTCACATGCCTGTGTCCCACCAGAGCTGTCTTCTATTCAGTAATTTCCATTCTAGCACACCAGGGCATTCTGTTGGCTACACTTAGCTTTGCAGTCTGTGGCTGGGCAGTTCTCTCGCCTTCCCAATTCTCTTAAACTGGTTGGTGTTACAGCTGGGAAGTGTCTGCACATGGGATACAAGTATGAAATACAAGCAAGGTACTGACATCTATCTGTACAAGGACCTGCTGCGGGATTCCCGCCTGGGTCCTGTTGCCGCTTTAGTCCCCAAATAACACACAAGACACTATATTAATTATGAAGCTGTTGGCTGTTTGCTATGGTTACTAATTGGCTAGCTCTGACTTAATCATTAACCCATAATCACCAATATATATTTTTATAAGGACTTATCTTTCCGAGAACGCCAGACTTGCGTTCTCTCCTCCAGGGATCACATCTTGACAACTTACTTCACTACATTTCCCAGAGTCCTCCTAGACTCCTAGTCCCACCTATCTTGCTTCCCTATTGGCCAACAGTGCTTTATTTATACCAATCAAACATATACACAGAAGGACTTCCCCAATCAAGGACCCATCTTCATAACCTCAAGATCCCCCAAGTACTCTCCTGCAGGATGCAACTGTAGATGTCAAGTACACCCCGCTAGTCCTTCAGAGTTTGGGTTCTACAGTGAGTGGCAGGTGGATTGCTCTAGAGGTTGGTCCGTCCTCTGCGCTCAGGCTCAGGGCTGTGTAAGTCCATTCTCAGGGGGTGAAATATGTTCCTTATCACTGAGGATAGAGCTGCCATTGCTGCTGCTGTCACCACCACCACCACCACCCCCACACACCACACCACACCAACACACCACACACCACACCACATACTGACACACCATGCCACACCACACCACCACACCACACACCACAACACACACCACAACACACACCACACCATACACACCACCACACACTACCATACAACATACCGACACACCATCACCACCACACCACACCACCCCTTTCAGTTCTGAGCCTGTCTGTTGCTATCTGTCTGTTCTCTTTGACTTGTCAGCATCCAGCCTTCCTGCCCCCTACAGCTGTCCCCTCGCACTGCCAGCCTCCTGCCTGTTGGTTGTTCCTGGTCCTCAGGTCTCTGGGGTGACTCAATGTAAACAGCAGCTTTCCTTTAAGAAGGGTGCCCAGCCACTGCCCTCTGACTCACAGACAATGGTTGAGTGGGATCCCTCTCCCCAGCTGCTCATCCCCAGAGGAATTTACACCAGGTTTGGGAGGGCTGTGGGTTTTGCCCAGGGGACAGGCTTGTGCATCTCTCCTCACCAGGGCTGCCTGGCTTAACTCTTGGATAAGGACATCTGCTTCATCACCCTGGCCGGCAGGGGACCACACCGCTAATGCTGTTTGGCCAGGCTTCGGATGTGTTGTCTGTTTCCCTGCACTTTTAAATTACTCTCTCACTACCCTTGAGAATTTCTAAAGCACATTCATTCCTCTTTACGTTTCTGGAAAGTCTGGTTTTCTTTTCCAAACCCTCTTTACTGATCACCAGTGTATCTTATGCAGAAATCTTTAGCATTGATCACTTGCATAAAACTGTGTAGTTTAAAAGTCAGGCTAAGTGTAATGAACCTTAACACTAGTTATCAAGTACAAAGCCATGAGTCGAGTCAGGAGTTTGGAGGGAGGTCCTAAAAGCTTAGTAGCTCTGAGGTCACCTGGCAAGTGTGGGCACCTGTCCTTCCTGCAGATATCAGGTGCTAGTGATGAAAGCCAGGCACACTCTAGGCCAGCACCATATCACTGAGCTATGCCTCTGCCTAGACAGCCATGCTTGAATGCTATACCCTCTCTTGGATCCTCTTCATTGAACCTGTGTTGGGTCCTACACATAAGAACCAAACAGAAGAGGCCAGAAGGAGTTCCTTCTCTGCATGGGCTTCAGTGGCTTTATGCCACTTGTCACAAAGAGAGATACTCAATGTTTTTCTCAGACTTGTAAACTTCCCTAAGTGGGTTTAGATGCTCGCAGACAATTTCCTGATTGTCTTTGAGAATCGCCCTTCCTGAGTGCTGGTATTGCAGACTGAGTCTTATTCCTGTGTTACTGACTCTTTAGAGACGCAGCCTGGATCCAAGGAAAATACAGAGGAATGGTGTGAGGCCGACTCCTTCTAACCCCTAAGAAAATTCAGCCATTATTCACCTGCTGCTGTGGCCCAGAGAAACAAAGCAACCCTTTAATCCCTCTGTTTCTCTGACAGTCTTCACTGTGTCTGCCTGTCTCTGAGCAGCTCCTCCTCCCCCCAGGAAGCACCAACAAGGCATAGTGCACCTAAGAATACTCCTTATTTTTATTTGGTTGGGTAACACCAAGTGTCTGACTCCATAATAGGGAAAAGGTCATAATAACCCATATGGTAGGGAAGATGGCTTATTGATCCTCTGATTAGCTCACTTGAGTGAGCCTATGCAGTTGAAACAGCACTATAAATGTAGCCGTGTGCCCTCAAGCCAAATTTACTTTAAGGACCTTGGTCCAGTATTCATAAAATGGGTAGATAAAGAATGTCACCCCTGTTTCTCCCAAATATCTTCTTCTCCAGTAAATAAAATAGCTGTAGTGTATTCCATGCGTGTGATGTGCCAACCTCTTTGTGTGCAGTGTCTCCTAGTTCTTCAGGTCTGAAAGGTGAGGATTATCCCATCCACTTACAGACAAGGAAGCTGGAGAATGGAGGAGTTCAAAGCCATTTGCAAGGTTACTTAGCAAGGTCGAACTCAGACTCTAAATTCCAGGGTTTTTTCCACGGAAGACCATCTCTCACATATGAAAGTACCTACGTCTGACTCCTGGGGAAGATATACTATTTTAATACTTAAGGTTTGACCCCAGAATAAATATTTTCTCCATAATCATTGATCTGAGGAAGCTAGTTTCCTTTTCCCCTCCCTGTCCCAATAACCTCTATAAATCATACTGCATCATCCTGAGCCTTGGTTGTTGCAGCAGAGAAAGCAAATGGAGAGGTTCCCACATTTGCAGGAAGTGTTTAGAACACAGGTCTACTGGCATCTGTGAATTTTCCTCTGATGAGCACAACCCCCAAATATAGGTAGAGACCATCTGGGTCAATAGAAACCAAGCTGCCCAATAAAGGCCTATGCGGATGCAACAGACAGGAATGAAAGAGAAGATCCCAGAGGACAAAGGAAGCTGGCCTTGTGTGTCATAGCAGTCCCAGGAGTGAGGTCACAGGCCATTGGGTGAGTGTGGCTTGTAGTCTCCAGCACCAAGTACATTGTGACTTTGGGCCAATTCCCCTGGAATTTCCTTATGGAAGGATAGCCACTGACTGTGTGGTATCCTGGGCTATTTTTCTAACAGCACTGTATGTTCACCAGTTGCAAATCTTCAGTCATGGATCACTCTGTTAAGCTACTCTAATTCTCTTAATTACTAAGGTATATTTGATGGTACTGAAAGGGCACCTGGCATCATACATAAATGTGACACTATATCTCAGCCCTGAAAGTGCCATTTAAATCTACCCATACAACAGTATTGACAGAACCATCCTTCAGTTTGGGGGCTTTTCTAGCTATGGTTGCATTGCTTTAGCTAATATGAGTCATCAAATCCAAAGCTGAATGCTAGAAGCCTTGATAGACAACCCCAGCAGCTGCTTTCCAGCCTCAGTATCCCCTTAAGGGGTTCCATCATGGCAGTGCAAACTAAGAGCCACCTCCCCAGTAGCACCAGCTATGGGGAGAGCTCTTGCTATACAGCTAGCAGCCCCACCCCAAAGTCTAACACTTGGTTGGCCATGATTCACAAGAGGTGTCAATATCCCTCACTGTAACCTACTAGTGGAGACATGAATCCTATAATACCCCCATGCCTGCCATTGCCACTCTGCTATGTGCAAAGCTCTCTTGACCTCTGGGCCTTCTCCCACCACCCCAGCTCCAAGTCTCAGCATCTGTCTCCATTTCTCAGGTTTACCTCTCTCCAAATGGGATGGCAGAGACTGCCTGTCAGGACCCGTATGCCCCCAGTACCCTACTCTCAGACACGTGTTTGTTTGGTGGGGTGTCTCCTAGTTCTCCATGTTGAAGTCACCTTCCACATCCAGCCGGTATAAGCAGCGTTGGTCTTCCTCCTGCCAGAAGATGCCGGTCACATCTTGGGTCACACATTAGGATGGCATGATACAATATGGATACTTAAAAAGTGATGAAACACGCTGAAACTCCTCAACGATGAACCTAGTAAAGAAACGTTTCTAAATTCTTGGAAAATCCGACTTCTTTGGGTTTTACTGAAGACTGGTGGTGTCTCTGGGAAAGCCACTGATGTGATGTTTACACATCCCTTGGGCAGGAAAGGGGGCTGAGGAGAGAGCCTGCTCCATGCACACAGAGTGGCTTTGTTTGCCATCTGGCTCCTTGCCACCTTGAAGCATCCTCTGAGCCCCGAGGAGATGGGACGGAGAATGAATGTGGCTGTGGGTTCCTGGAGGCCTGTGTCTGCCCTTCGCGCCATGCCTCTCAGGGTCTGGGAGGTGGCAGGTGTCTGCCGAGCTTTCCTAACAGCTCAGTGGAAAGAAAGGCCCCAAGTGTCTGGCACTGTCTGAGCATTTTCTATAGGGGATGGAACAGGATTCTGAGGAGGAGAGGGGGAAGAAGGGGCAGCACAGAGGGTTCATCATGAGTGGCCCTGTGGCTATACCTTTCTGGAAAACTAAAGCTTGGTAGAAACTTGTTTTTGTTCAGGGAAAGCAAAATTTCTACAGTGTCATTGGCTCACAGGTGCCAAGGGCCTAACACACACTGGTTTCCTCCCTACCCTGCCAGGATTGAAATGGCTTTATTTCAGAAATATATGGATTTTTCCAAACCAACCGACTACTTGTCTTTTCTCTTTGTTTCTGTCTCCTTTCAGATCTAGGAGATGCTGACTCATCCAGAGCTCAGCATAGAGCCCTGGGGCCCATCTCCTTGGTTCCTTTCCTGTTCTTGTCAGCATGGGTATAGTTTTCACTCACTGCCTACGCACATTCAATAACTCTCGTAAGCCAAGGACTTGATCTGCTTTACAGCAGTGCCCCTAAAATGCACCAACACCTGTGCATCCGGCTGCTCCTCAGTAGAGGTTTGAGCAGTTGGCCTAATGGTGGTCATCACTGAACATTGCTGAGCACTAAGTCACATGGTGAGCGGTTAACTCTGAACTATGAACTCAGGGTTCTGCAGCCTCTTCTTGCAAATATATTTAGAGTTGGAATGAAGATTTTCTGAAAGAGAATACTTAATTTGAGTTTATTCACCCCCTTTCAATTCCCCCTTACCTGAATAGTTTTCTAGAAGGGTGGTACCTCAGAGCTAAGATCAAAGATAATTGTAGCTGTCTTAGAGACCAACAGGTTATTTTTAAATAAAACAAAATGGGATGATTAGGAAAGATTATGTTTGGAAATATAATTATTTCCTAACTTCTGAGCACATGCCTTTGGAGTACTTCTCTGAACACACGCACTGACAAATATTCCATTAAAGGATAGACTTGTTTATAACAAAAACACTTCAGTGCAAGAAGGTTACCCACACGGCAGTTTCTTATGCTACATGATAATTATATATTATAATTCTAAAAATTACATTTACAAAAAAATCCCACACATGAATTGTATTTTCAAAAGCTTGTATGTTAAGATGTTCAATTTAGTATATTATGGACCAAAAATAACTTGTGTAAACTGTGAAGTCAGATTAATGTCTTCTTGGGAAAGGGGCCAACTCAAAGGAATGGAGGTACATATGTTTTATCAAATGCTCTGTTGGCCAGCCAGTGGCTAACTGCCGAAGATGCCTCCAGCATCATTTAGGAATGTAAAACAGATAACCCGGATGAAATGACAGACTCTGAAGATCCACCACGGAGGGCCTCACCCTCCCTGGGAAATGGAGTGGGGATTGGGTGGGGAGGTGGGGATGCTGGTGGGGGGTGCGGGGGGAGGAGGGGAAGGAGAGGGAGCTTGGATTGACATGTGAAGCAAGCTTGTTTCTAATTTAAATAAATAAAAAAGATAACCCACCTTTCATGAGAATAACCAGATGGGAAGATGGACTCACTCCAAGTCGTTTCAAGGACAGTTGGTTGTTCTTACCTCATCCTTCCAAGGCTAGGGCTGGCTAGTGACTCCACATCACCACTGAATCACATCAACTATATTCAAAATTCTTGGAACAAAACTGGGGCCATATCTTAGTTGGTAGAGCACTTACCTGACATGCATAAAGTCCTGGGTTCAGTCCCCAGCACTGTATTAAAAAAGAAAAAAAAAAAGTGTGGCAATGTATGCCTCACACTCAGAAGGTGGAAACGGGACAATCAGAGGTTCGAGATCATCCTTGACTACTTGGAGAGCTCAAGGCCAAAATGTGTAACAGGAGAACCTGTCTCATAATAATAGGTACACAGATAAATGGTCTAGAATAAAGAAAACTGAGAGCTAAGTCCCCCCATGATTCCTGCCTTAACCTGCCTCTGTGCTGTTGAAGGATGCGAGAAGATCCAAGTCCATGAAATAAGCACCTTTTGGGGATACATCTGGTCTTAACACTATGCAGGATGCAGAAGTGATTTCCTGGTTCTTGTCCTACCTCAATTTAGGAGATACGATTTAGACATAAATATTTTAAGAAAGAAAAGGTAGTACATTCTCAAAACGTGTCTTGGAGGTTTTGAAAGAATAAACCAAGAGGTTCTGGAGAACAAAGCGGGGTTGGCTGTTCCTGCTTGCTTGGGTCTGGTTTCCGGGTCACAATAGGATTCGTGTGTGCTCTGTGTTCTGATGAAGCCCTCCATTGCAGAGAGCCTCCTGGGTGCAGCTGATAAGGTTGATTGAAAGGCGCCAAATGCACCTTTTGGTTCATTCCATTTTGATCCAGAGACCTCTTGTCTCAAAATGGCAAGAACTTGGGCTTTAAAAAAATAGTCTTGGCAAATGGACTTTGCTCTGTTCTGCCAAAAATAAAAAATGGAAGAGCTACCAGGCATTTCCTATGGGAGAACTGGGTTCATAAAAACACATTTGAAGATGGGGTTTTGAACTGCCAAGTTTGAGAGAGGATGATAAAACAGGGCTGATTTCAGGAGTTTCCAGGAACAGCCTCATCTGAAAGCTAACCAGGGAACATGGAAGGATCAAGACTGCTGGGGAAATTGCTGAGTCTGCTCAACTTCTGGGGAGGCAAAGGAAATGCAGGCATCCTCTGCACCTTGCCACCACTATTGAAGGTATTCCAAGGCAGACATGAATTCAAACGCACAGCCTTTAAGAATAAGCCCAACAGTAAGGGGATCTCATCCGAAGACCTTGCTCTTCCACTGGAACAGCGGGGCTGTGTTCTGGGACTTCCTGCACTTAGCCGTTTTCTCATTGACATGCTGCCAGGCACGCTGCTGAAGTCAGTGTATGCGGGAGTGTAGTGCATGAGGCCCAGGCTGAGAGTTCCCACCAAGAAGAGGTTGCCATGGCGCACTCCCGCTGCCTTTTGAAGAAGGGGGTGTTTGCTTGCTGGATGGCAGGCTTTTCGATTCTAAGAATTC